GCCCTACGAAGAAACCGAGGGCCGATGCCCTCCCTACTTAATCTACGCCGATCATGACCATCGCGAGATCATTCTAACCGTTCGCGGCCTCAATCTCTCCCGTGAGAGCGATTACAAGGTTTTACTGGATAATCGGTTGGGAAGGCAGATGTTCGATGGCGGTTATGTGCATCATGGGTTGCTTAAGGCGGCTACATTTATTCTTAATCGGGAGACGGAGATGCTGCGGCGGGTGATTGGGGAGGTGGGGGAGGAATATAAGTTGGTTTTTGCCGGGCATTCATTGGGGTCTGGAGTGGCGGCGCTGATGACGGTGATTGTGGTGAATCATCGGGATCAGTTTGGGGGGATTGAAAGGAGACGGATCCGGTGTTATGCAATTGCGCCAGCTAGGTGTATGTCGTTGAATCTTGCCGTGAAGTATGCTGATGTGATTAATTCCGTCGTGCTACAGGTGATTTTTCTTTTCTTTCTTTCGTTTTCTTTTTTTATCGAATCGAAAATAATTTTAGGTTTTCCGAGTGTAGGAATGGCTTTGCTGAATTGGAAGCTTGGTGGATTTTGTGAGATTATTCATTGATTCGATGGTTATTTTGGGGTTTAGAAAACAAGAGAATCTAATCCGTATGCAGTGGGATAGGGTACTCTTGAAATAGAATTCGTTTTAGTAAGATTCGGAATGTTTAATTTATCGATTGGACTGAAGCATTTTAGATTATGGAAAACAGATTTAAATTGATGTGAAAAAAATGGCTCGAGATATTCTTCTCTCCGGTTTTTTTTTGTTTTTCGAAGTTTTAGTCCATTCTTGACTAAACTTTCAAAGGATTGCTTTAAATATTTGGTTTATAATGTCCAGCGTATGAAGTTGGAGTTCAAAGTCCTCTGACTTGAAGTGCGAGATAGATTTAGCGGTTGAATTATTTTGATTTCTTCTTGTTAAATATTGGGAACTTCGGAGGCATATTTTCTGCTTGCATTTTATGGCGACTCTTCAATACTACTAAATCTTGCAGGATGATTTCTTGCCGAGGACTCCTACTCCATTAGAGCATATTTTTGGATCTATATTCTGGTGAGTTTTTAGTGTTTTTATGTTCAAATTACTTTAATTTATGCTGATCGTGAATTTGATGATTAAGTTTTTAAATAGCTTTTATTGTTATAATGCTCTTGGACAGCTTGCCATGCTTTCTATTTTTAGTTTGCTTGAGGGATACTTTTATACCAGAAAGCAGAAAGCTTAATGATCCAAGAAGGCTTTATGCTCCTGGGCGATTGTATCACATTGTTGAGAGAAAATTTTGCAGGTAGCAACATGCTTTCGACCTTTTTTTTCTTTATTTTTTTTTTCTTGTGATTAATTCATTTTTTAGAAATAATTATTCTGTGCGGAGACCAGAGGCAAAACGCCATCTGGAGGCTAACCAGAATGCGCCACTACAGCGGTACTAAGCCGCAGTACCGAGCACAGGGGTGATCTGGCGCATTTTGATTGGTTTCCGGACAGCATTCAACGTATGCACAGAATAATTAATGGAGGATTAGGCTTTGGCACAGGGTGGATAATTCAACTTTTATATGTACGTTCTATTCTATGAAAACTTTATAGGAATAATATGTGATTGAAGCTGGCTTTGGTGATATGGTTCATGCAGGTGTGGAAGATTCCCCCCTGAGGTTAGGACTGCAATTCCAGTTGAAGGCAGATTTGAGCATATTGTCCTGTCATGTAATGCCACATCTGATCATGCACTTCTGTGGATAGAGCGAGAAGCTCAGAAGATATTCGATGTAAGAGCAAAACACAAATCCAACCACTGAATTTTCTCTGTTTTTATTTGTTAATATTGCTCTGTATCCTCTCCTTTAATTTGTAAATTAATCTGAAAAATATAACCCTGTTTTTTTTTTCAATTTAAAAATGTTATGCTCATTCGTAAATTAAAGTTAGCATCTCGCATTAAGACTATATAGAAATTGATGTAGAAGTAAAATTATAAAGTTTGCCCCAAATAACTAGAATAGGGCTAGTGGTATTAGCATTACTTGAGTAGAATAAATTATGTCCTGGCAGATTGATCATTCCTCTTAGTTGAACATTTGTCCAAAAACCTCTTCGATTTCCAAGCGCTGCAGCTCAAACCGTGACTTTTCCAGATCCCAATCGAAGGAGGTATTATTCTATGTGGACACCGGACGGTTCTCCCGTCCGGTTCTGGGCTTGGTACCGAGCGATAGCGAGCGCTCTATATCAAGCGTGGTACATTTTTTTGGGGCGACGTTATGCATTTTTATTGATCTTCGAACAAATATGGACCCACACGTAATAATTTTCCAATCCGAAGACCCCTAAAAGTGCTGGAAGGTGCTTGGCAATGTTGCTTTTATTTCTGCTCTTGTTTTCTTCTGTTGCTGGCATTGTTTTGCTCTCTTCTCTTCCTGCCGTTATTTTGCTTTCTGCTGCTTTTCTGCCGCTGCAATCCAAAGACATTTAGCTGCTGAATGTAGTTCGGAGTTCATTCAGGTGCTGGTTAAAGTGGAAGCAATATTCTATTTTTTCTGTTTTGAATCCATTCAGTCCCAAACAAAACTCGATTCAAGATGTTCAGCAATGGAAAACTTAAAATTATGGAGAAATCTATTTAAAACATGAAAAATTCAATTGAGATAGCCTTACTTTGATTCATAAATCATTAGAGACTATTTTAGATTTTTTCTTATTCAAAAATATTACGAAGGATATTTGATGACCAATATATGTAAAAAGAACTCATACAAAATGGAGTACTCATGTAACAATGAAGCAAGTATGAATCAAAGTAGGATTTATAAAGCACTCAAACAAGAAAAAAAAACAATGAAAGGCGGGATGGGATTAACAATGTTTGGAAAAATGAACTTTCAGACAAAACTAAAATAAGAGATTGATTTGCTCTTTTTTGCAGATAAGAAAGGAAGATGCTGAAACTACAACAGCTCCAACTCAGCAGAAAATGGAAAGGAAACAAACCCTAGAAAAGGAATACAAAGGTGCATTAGAAAGAGCAGTCACCTTGAATGTGCCTCATGCAATCTCACCATTAGAACCCACAGAAGGTGAGATTGACTCTGCGCCATTAAAGAACCAGAATGAAGGAGTTATCAGCTCCTCACACTCAGAAAACCAGAATGGAACTCACTCAAAAACTGAATCCAAGCCCAGTGGGAGAACAAACTGGGACGAATTAGTCGAGAAGCTCTTCACCAGAAATGAATCTGGCAACTTTGTACTGAGGAAGGATATTGGTAATATTGAAGGCCATTAGCTATGTTTTTTCTAAACTCCATTATTCTTTGAACTGTATCATAAAGAAAGCTGTCTTGTTGCAGTTTTTTTTTTTTTTTTCTTATACTGTATTTGTTAAGGGGAAGACAAATAATGTTTTAAATAGGGGGAAAAAGGTGCTTTTTGAAGCTGATGTTGTATTTTTCATTTGATTAATGATAGATTATTATGTCTTTGTGAATGTAAAGTTTGAGCAAGTTTTTTCTTTTTTGACCTGCTTTTTTTACTTTTTTTTTCATTCAATTTTCAGAAGATTTTCTTCAATACCAGTTTCATGTGTCAATTATCTCATTGCCTAAGCAAGGAAATCATCTCCTGCTGTTGAACCTGATATAAGATCTGGTTAAGCCTTCGTTTGGGACGACTTTCTTTATGCTTTTTAAAGCAGCTTTCTAGTATAAAAAATTATTGAAAATTTACTTTATGAAACAATAAGAAAGCCGTCCCAAACGAAGCCTAAATCAGCTAAATTTGGGTTTCTTTGGGATAACTTTGGATTTCAAAAAATTTGTTATAGAAAAAAAAAATTGCCATAAAAAGCAATAAGAAAATTATTCCAAAAATATTTTTGATCACAATTAGAGTCTAATTTTCAATCTTCTAAGATGAATATCAGTTCAAACACACATAAATCCATTAATACATTCATATTTATAATTTTCACACATATAAAAATATCATTAATATTATTTTATTTAAAAAAAAATACTTTTTTAAGTATAC